GCAGAAGCATAGGTAAACTAGAACTGCAACATCTCGTTCGAATGATGAGGGAGTCTCGACGCTATGGCCATGCTCTAGAGGTTCTACTTCACTCTACCCATTTTATTATATCCCATTTTTGGAAGAAATAGTAGAAAATTTTTGTATAGATTGAACTCAAGAGAGTTATTTAACTTGTGGGTATTGAATGCTACTGCACTATGCTCTTGAGGTTCTACTTCTCTCTGCCCATTTTATCATATACCATTTTGGGAAGAAATGGTAGAAATTTTTTTGTATAGAATGAACTCAGGAGAGGTATTTAAAATTTGTGGGTATTGAATGCTACTGCTTAGGGGGATGAACTTCATAGTTTCTTTGCTTTTGTTATTTGATATTTAGTTGTTGAACCTTGTGGGTACATTTATATTGGCATGTCTGTCTGGTTTTTAGGAATTAATGAACAAAATATAAGCAAGCTTTGATTCAGCAATGGTGACTTTCAGCTTGCTTTTCACAGGGTAAGAAAATTGTTGAAGCAAGCAGAATCTCTGATTGATATGATCCATAAATTCTGATACTTGGTTCATTTTCTTTCTCCCTTGTGCGTCAGTTAGTTCCAAATACTCCCATACAATGTGATATGGTTAATTATCATTGCCCAATTTAAGCTCACCAGGGAATGAACTTTGGGTCGTTTTATTTTCATAAAATTCATGATTTTGGGGGTTTTGATTGGCAGACTAGTTTTAGCCAGGATTTAAATTATGCTATCTAGTTTAATTGCTGACCCCTTAAAAAAAAAAAGGGAAAAATCTGTAGTTTAGTACTAATTCTGCAAAAGTTTGCCATTAAGGAGATTGGGGGGGAGGGGAGTGCTGGATTTTAGTTTCAAAGTTACTCTTTTCAGCTTGGCTTTTTAACCATTTGCCAGTAATCTGCTGGTTCTAGGCAGCACATAACAGAGACTAGCCAATACAGGAAAACAGAGCTGGAAAGCCAATCACTATTTCTGGGATCTTTTGCACTCTGAGTGACAAGGGAATTCTGATTGCCTGTTGGTTGATTTTGGTTTGGAATTTGGATTGCTTTGTCAAGCACAATGGCCACATTGATTAATGGATCAAATAAAGACTTCTATTTATTCCATGATGTATGCTATCCTTCATGCAATTATATATAGAGATTGGGTAAGGTTGTGCAAGACAATATTAGGATCTTTTTTAGTATATGATTACATCTGCTTTCAATGGATTTTAACAGTGTTTTTTTTTTTTTTTTTGATAAACTGACACAGACCAAATAACATTCCTTTGCAAACCTTGTTTGTTTTTTTCTTTCTTATTTGTTTTTTCTTCCAACACTTGGGCCTTCTTTTACCTCTTCCATATATAGCATTATTCCATGGCATCCATTGCTGTTCACAAGGATTCAAATTTGGCTTCCTACTCACTGTTCATGCAGTGTTAAACCTATCTGGTGTGCGAAGAATAATGATATAGAGAGTCTAACTGCTATCTGCCATAAGTGACAAGTCATGAATAGATGAATTCTTTAAACAAATTTTTATTTGCTTGGTAGATTTTCAAACGTGTCTCTAATTATGCTGCAAGTTGATGGTTTTGTTTTCATTATTGTGCTATTCAGATATCTCAGTGGATGACTGATCGCCAGTACTTCACATTATCACCTAGTGACATTGCAATTAGGTTGGATTTAATCCACAAAGTTCATGGATTGGACCATGCAGAAAATTTCTTCAACAAAGTTTCAAATAATCTGAAAACCAGTAAAATATATGGTGCTCTCCTTAAATGTTATGTGCAAGAAAAATCTGTCAATAAAGCAGAAGATGTAATGGAAAAAATGAGAAAGATGGGTGTAATTGCATCATCTTTTCCTTACAACTGGTTGATATCCTTGTATGCTCATAGTGGAGAATGTGACAAGATTGACATACTGGTGCAAGAAATGGAAAGAAAGGGGTTTCCTCAAGATACATATACAATGACAAACAGGATGGCTGCTTATGTAGCAGCATCAAACATTGTTGGGATGGAGAAGATTTTAAATCAGATGGAGGACAGTCCAGAATTTGTGGTTGGTTGGAAATTGTATTCAATTGCAGCACTTGGGTATCAAAAAGTTGGGTCGATTGAAAAGTCAATAAAAATGCTGAGGAAAATGGAGGAGATGATGCCACTAAGAAGAAGACCAACACTTGACTTTCTTCTTACTCTCTATGCAAATATTGGTGAGAAGGATGAGCTTTTACGAGTTTGGAAAACATTCAAGCCAGCAAATGAACAAATGGACGAATTATACTGCCACATGATTACATCTCTCGCGAAGCTTGATGATCTTGAGGGTGCTGAGAAAATATTTGAGGAGTGGGAATCCCAGTGCACAATGTATGACTTTCGGGTATTGAATAGGCTTCTTGTTGCTTACTGCCGAAATGGTCTTTTGGAGAAGGCTGAATTAGCAGTAACAAAAGCTGTTGAAGGAAGGACGCCTTATGCTAGTACATGGAATATCTTAGCTATGGGGTATATGGAACAAAAGCAAATAGCAAAGGCAGTTGAGATGTTGAAAAAGGCAATGTCCGTTGCAAGAGGAGGATGGAGGCCACACCCCACAACATTAACTGTCGCCTGCCTGGATTATTTGGTGGAGAAAGGAGATGTGGAAGTAGTGGACGACATAATAAGGTTTTTTAAGAACTCAGGCCCTTTGACAAGGGATATATACCACAGATTGCTAAGGTCCTTCATCAAAGCTGAAAAATCAGTTTCTGAGGTTCTTGATCAGATGAAAATGGATGGATTTGATACAGATGAAGAAACAGAAAAAATTATTAAAACTGGGTCAAGTTAGTAGCCAGTTGGAGTGAATTCTAAAACTTTATGTTGAATCAGTTTTGCAATCCCTTCCATCAACAGAGATTCAAAAGCCAATTATAGTATCTTTTTCTTCAAGATTTTTCCTGTTCTTTGTCACTGCATTTTCCCAAATTTAAAACATAAATGTTCATTGCAATTAAAGTTATCATCTCGGCAGCCAACCAAGTTGTTCTCTCTGGTTGTTGATCAACACCATGTACCTTCCTGATATAAATGAAGATTGAATCAGTTTCACTAAATCGGCGGATGACCGTTATGGTTTCAATTCCATAGCGGTATAAATAAGGCTCTCCGCAAGGCGTGGATCTATTTCCAAATGAGCCTTTCAGCTAAGCGGCATCATTTTAGTAGAAGTAAAAGATTTAGGGGACTTATGACTCAATTCTACACAGTATTGATTGGCACATGCCACTTGATTTAGGAAATTTTACATGAAAAAATAAATAAATAAATAAAAATATAAAACCAAGGGGCGTTTTTGGAGTAAAGTTTTCCCCCATTTTTCCCTATATTTGGATTCTCCAAGGTTGTGTAATATTTTCATACCTTAATACCATAACAAAAGACTACTCTAAAATTTACCTTAAATAGAGAACAAAGACAGCTCCATTTTTTTAAAAAATATAGATAAATTACCATTTTAAATGATCAATTAAAATAAATAATTTATTATTTGACTTATTTATCACACATTAATTTTCAATTAAAAACAAACTTAGATGTAAATGGATTTTTGACGTATGATGATGTTAATTTGTAAATAATAAATTATTTGTTTCAATCAACTATTTAAAAAGATAATTTATTTTTTTTTAAGAGCAAATCTGTTAGAATCCTCTATTCAAAGATTGGATTTGGGGATTCAGTTATAACAAAAGGCCAACAAAAAGAGGGTAAAATAATTTCTTTTAATTTTATTTTTTTGATATAATTCTTAATAAGTAAACTCTTCTTTTCAGACTTCTTGAATGAAAAAAATTGCCCCAACTTGCTCTACATGAGACCCGCATTATAATTTTCTAACTCTTTTTATACTAATTTTTTACCAATCTAAAAATATTAATAAGCCAATAAAATACTAGCAAATAGTCAATATAGTACTTTTTATAAAAATTTATAATATTTTTTAACTTTTTGTAAAATCTTTTTTCATTACTTTTTTAATAAATTTTTTTTAAATAAAATTAAATTAGCATATAACCAAATATGCCCCTAGGTGTGTCTTGAAAATGGGTTTTTTATTTTTATTTTATCTTATACTATATGATAAAAAATAAAATTTTTTATTCCTCAACTTATCTCAATATTATATGACACTGTACTTAGTAAAAATTGAAAAATGATGGGATAGAACTTGTGCCTCTACCTAGATAAGGGTAAAAATTTATTTGTAGTCTTTTACTTTAATAAATTTATAGATTTTAATCTTTCACTATAGATTTTAATCTCTCATTTTATATTATGACACTTTTAATCCCTCACTTATATGAATGAAAGAAAATAGCCTTTATTTAATATCAAATTATAATCTTCTGTTAATTTTATTAACTAACTATTAACTCTATTAGTTAACTATTAGCATTTCGTTATAGAAAACATGAAATTTAAATTCAATTTTATTTGTTAGTTTTGTTAACGAAATATAAATAATCAATTAACAAAGTTAACAGCTAACTAATAAAATAATGTCAACTAACAGAACTAACAATTAACTAATAAAACTAACAAAATGTTATAACTTGATGTTAGCTAATTAAATAAGGATTATTTTATTTGATTCATATAAGTGAGGGTTTAAAAACGTTATAATATAAGATGCGGGGTTAAAACCTATATACTTATTAAGGTAAATGACTAATCGGAGGTTTTTGCCTTGCGGGAAAAAAAAGGGGAAAAATGAAAAACAAACAAATCAACCTTGAGCCTCTGGCCTGGGAGAGATTTAACAGGGTTTTACAAGGGTCTCATAGGCATGTAAAAAACACAACCATTTTTTTTTCTTACCGTACCATGATATGAATCATCTTCGCAGGGCAAGGGAATCGCTTGATTCTGTTACTACTAGGGTTTTGAGGAGACTCTCTTACTCCACTCAAACCCGATTCCCCACCTCGTTTTCAGATGCCGGCGACTCTCTGCGCCTTCGGATTATCACACATGGCGGAGTTAAAAGGACCTCCATCATTCCGGTGCTCCATCAATGGATCGAAGAAGGCAAAAGGGTCAAGCCAAATGAGCTCGTATCGCTCATCAGACTGCTCCGCCAACGCCGACGCTTCAAGCATGCCCTCGAGGTATATGAATACCCTTTTAATGTCCTTTTTTCTCTTTTCTTTTATTCATTATCGATATCAGAAGAATTTACTATCTGGGTATATGAAGTTATGAACAAAGAATCATGTTTAGATGATAAAGTTTTCGTTTTTCTGGAAATTCTGGAATGGGATACTTGAATTTACTATTTGTAAGTTTCATTGTTTCTACCTATATTGGAGATGACCTTGTGTTGATTTTGTTATGGAAATGGAGGCTCTGATAATTACAAAGCATGCCGGTAGTGTTGGCTTTCCAGCCAAAAAAATAGTAGTGTTGGTAATGTTGATTACACTAAATAGTGAAGCATATAAGCAATGATAGTGTTAATTATGGTAATTATGGATATTGGTTCTAATTGTCAAATTATCTGCTGCTACCATGTTTAAGGCCATAGTCATTGTTGGACTCTGTGTTGATTTAATTGGTTTGCTGATGATCACATCTTTTTGTATATTGTAATAAATGAAATTTGTTAAATGACACCACGTTAAGCAAAATACTAATTTCTTCAAATTTTGAAGGCTTAAAACCATGAGTTTCATTCTGTTAAGAATTTAAATCTCACATCCCAGATCATTGTGTACTGAAAAAACGTAAAGGCTTCATATGTTTATGATTTTTTTTTTTCAAAAATCAAAATTATGTCCAACTTTACTGTTAGAGATTTAACTTTTTTTTCTAAACCTTTATTTTGTGTTATTTTTTAGTTTCTCTCTCTCTCTCTCTTTTTTTTTTTTTTTGAGTGTTTCTTCTTTTCGTAAATAGTTTATATATATATATATTATAAAGAAAATGAGGAAAATTTTCTGGTTAACACTTTATTCCTTTATTTGATTTAGATATTTTATAATAATGAAAAATCTCATGAGTTAATTAAGTTGGCTTAGAACCTCTCTGTAGAAAGTGTTAATAAAATTTTGAAGAAGGATACACTTTTCTTGAACTCAATGATTATTGGCCAAGAAGTGGAAAAAATGAATAAAAAAATCTATAAAAGAATTGTACCAACCTTATATTTAGCTACCATCTAAACACTCAATAACGCCTAAAAAAAAAGTATAAAACAATAAATGCTTGTGTAGAAACTGCTTTTTGCATTTCATTTCTTAATTCCAGTTTCTTATTTATCTCCACAACGGTTATTTAGATTTTATCTTGTTCAGATTACTGGTAGAATTAAAATCCAATCTCTTGAATGAACTTATTTTGTCCCTTGTGCATGATCATTTGTGTGATTAAGTTGTTGCATTTCAACTTCTGGGATGAATAAATCATCTTTGAGCATGAAATTTGATTTCTTTATCCATACAAATAATTCCTCTAAATTCAGTCTTTATATATATGTCAGATATCAGAATGGTTGAGCGATGACATGAAACAATCTATTGCACCTGGAGGCATTGCAATTCAGCTGGATCTAATCTCAAAAGTTCACGGACTGGAACAAGCAGAAAAGTATTTTAATAGCATCCCTGAAAGTGTGAGGTCATTGGAGCTTCATGGTGCCCTTCTGAATTGCTATGCCAAAAATAAGTGCTTGGTAAAGGTGGAGGGCATGTTTCAAAAGATTAGGGAGTCTTTCTCTGTAAAAAAACCATTGTCTTACAATGTAATGTTAAATCTCTATGCTCAGCTGGGAAGACATGAGAAGCTAGATGCCCTAATGCTGGAGATGGAAGAACAGGGTATTAACTGTGACTCCTTTACTTTTAACATCAGATTAAATGCTTATGCCTCCACTTCTGACATAGAGGGAATGGAGAAACTTCTACTGAAGATGGAGGCTGATCCTTGCCTAAAATTGGACTGGAATATCTACGCTGTTGCAGCAAATGGGTACTTGAAAGCTGGCCTTACAGAAATGAGTTTGCCATTGTTGAAGAGAGCTGAGCAACTAATCAGTGATAATGCAGCAAAGTATGCTTATGAGACTCTCTTAACACTATATGCTTCTAGTGGGAGAAAGGATGAAGTTTATCGTGTATGGAATTTGTACAAGAAAATGGGAAGATTCTATAATTCAGGCTATATATGTGTGATAAGCTCATTAGTGAAGTTGGATGACTTTGATGGTGCAGAAATGATTTTTGCAGGGTGGGAATCTGGTCATACAGTCTATAGTGCTGACATTCCAATTGTGTTGATTAGTGCTTATTGCCAAAGAGATTTCTTGGAAAAGGCTGAAGGACATGTGAACAGAATTATAAAGGGTGGGAAGGAGCCTCATGCAGCAGTGTGGAGTATTCTTGCAAGTGGATACCAAAGAAATAACAAGATGGAGAAAGCAGTGGCAGCTGTTAAGAAAGCAATATTGGCCAATTCTCCTCTTGGGATGCCTAACCATCTTACTTTGGTTGCATGTGTTGACTATTTAGAAGCACAAGGGGAAGGGAAAGCAGCAAATGAACTTTTGAAGATGCTTAAAGATCATGGTCATGATAGGTTGGTAAATAAGATCAACAACAGAAACGTAGGTGAAAATGCCCATGATCGAAAAGATGGTAGTGCCCTTGGTCAGATAGAAGAAAATGTTGAGCTTCACGATGAAGAAAAATCAGGATTTATCGAGTTCAAGTATGAAGCTGATAGCTAAATTTTATTTGACAATAGAACCAATTTGCATTTATGCAGCCAGGAAATTTTTTAAGTTAACAACATGAATAGCATTTCTTTGACCAAGATTTTATTTTAAATTGCAGCCCCATCTCATGCACCTGATGTTAAACTTAAAAGACATTTTAGTTCCTTGCTAAGCTCGGCCACTAGACTCAGCTAAGCTCGGTCACTGCACTCAACCAAGGCACCACTATTCTTGAAGAAGCCCTCTGGCATTAAGACTACCCTTAAGGATGCTGCTATAGCCTTTAGGGTTTGCTTTCCCCAGGATGTATAGTTTCCTTAATCTCTTTGGTATCTATGGCATACCAAGAAGAAAATGAAAGTTTGAGTTTTGAATCCAGGCCAAGAGAGCACGAAAGATTGGCTTTTAGTAGTGAAACTGAAGAACAACAGATCCCTAACCTAAAATTAGCTCACAAATATCTAACCTTGGATGATAAACTTAGCAAGCTCACTTAGCTTAGGGTTGCACATGTACACTTGGAGATGCCTACAAAACAAGCTAAGATTGGTATTATCGTACACCCTGTTACAACTCCCTAGTACC